AGTCTTATGGGCACTCCTTTGTAGATAACTGTCTCCTTTTCTCTTGCTGCTTCCAAGATTCTCTCCTTATCTGTAATCTTGGCTAATGTAATTATGATATGCCTTGGTGTGTTCCTCCTTGGGTCCAACTTCTTTGGGACTCGGTGAGCTTCCTGGACTTAATGGAAGTCTATTTCCTTTGCCAGATTGGGGAAGTTTTCCTTCATTATTTGTTCAAATAAGTTTTCAATTTCTTACTCTTCCTCTTCTCCTTCTGGTACCCATATGATTCAGATGTTGGAACGTTTAAAGATGTCCTGGAGGTTCCTAAGCCCCTCCTTATTTTTTTGAATTCTTATTTCTTCATTCTGTTCTGGTGGAATGTTACTTCCTTCTGGCCCACACTGTTGATTTGAGTCCCAGGTTCCTTCCCATCACTGTTGGTTCCTTGTACATTTTCCTTTATTTCACTTAGTGTAGCCTTCATTTTTTCATCTAATTTGCAACCATATTCAACCAATTCTGTGAGCATCATGATTACTAGTGTTTTGAGCTGTGCACCTGCTTGACTGTCTATCTCTTCATCGCTTAGTTGTGTTTTTTGTGGAACTTTGATCTGTTCTTTCTTTTTTTTTTTTTTTTTTTAGCTTGGTGCGCCTGTTATGTAGTAAGGGGGGAAGCTTTAGTTGTTCACCAGTGCTGGGCAACCCACGTTGGTGCATTGTGATGCTGTATGTGGGGGAGGGGGCCAAGAGGGAACAGTGCTGCTTGCTCCACTCTCTGACAGTTTTCAGTCATTTCCCCCACCACCCACAAGCAAATTGGGCCATTCTGGTGCTGATTTCCGGGTGGGTGGGTGGGTTTGTGTACTCTGGGACTCTGTGGATCTCTCCAGAGAACTCTCCTGTGAGGCTGGGAGTTTCTCCCGCTGCTGTATCAACCCCCACAGGTTTTTTGAATCAGAGATTTGAGGCCTTATTTTCCTGTGCTGGAACCCTGGGTTGCATGGTCTGTCTGGATCCCCACTTGTTCCCCCAGGTTAATCTGCATGTGAATGTGGGACCTCCTGGTCCACCAACCACTAGCTGCCACCTTAACTTGAGTCCTCTCTGCCTGGCTGCCTGTCTCTGCCCCTCCTGCCGGTCTGGATAAATGTTTTGTCTTTAATTCCTTAATTGTCAGACTTCCATACAGTTTGATTTTCTGTCAGTTCTGGTTGGTTTTGTTTTTGTTTTGTTTTGTTTTTAATTTGTTGTTGTCCTTCTTTTGGTTGTGGGACTAGGTATATTGTGTCTACCTATGCCTCCATCTTGGCCAGAAGTCCTCATTTTTAGTTTTTAAGGCTTTCAAGTATGTGACACTTTGTACTGACTCTGTGATACAATTCTAAATTGTTTTAATAATGAAAAGGATCATATCACAATTAAGTATTTCCTTAAGGAGTGACTGAGGATAGATTATAGGATAGTTATGTACTTAAAATATTTTAAGTCTAACACCAACAGTTGGCAGAATATTTGAAACAGAACTGGTTTTAGCTCTGGTGTTAAAGTACCTTCCATTATTGCTACTTTGACTTCCATTACATTTACACTTCATTGTGTTGCAGTGGTTGGTTTTATTTGTGGCTTCTCTTCAGGTTCATTGCGTCAGCTATGAATCACAAAGCTTAGGGGGATATTTCAAGAATAAATGCCTTTTTCCACCTTTTATCTCTTATGGAAACAAATCACTCATTCTTTAAACACTATTTCAAGTAAACTGTGCCAGGGTTATTTTGTTTTGTTTTGTATTCATTGGGTTATCTAGGCAACTGTTTTCTGCTCAAATACTTCCCTCCACAGAACCCTTAGGATAAGGCTTCATCTGGGCAAAAGTGTTTACCAGTTCCTAATATTAACAGCTTGCATTCTTGGGCTGTATCAGATTTTTAACTAGTTCCAGTGAAGTAACTGCAGTCTGACTTTCCAGAGTATCTCTTTTTCTCCCCTTATCTTCCCTCTGGTTTCTGGCATTCGAGGTTTCTAACCAAACACTGTCTATGCTGCAAGGACCCTTGAATCCTTTTTCAATTTTTTATTGAGAAAACAGAATTTCCCCATAACAAAGGAAAGCAACATGAGCTCAGGGGTGGATGAGGTGGGGAGTATCGCGTTTGCCATAGAGCTGTATTTGTGTTTGGGGGACCACAAGCACATCATTGTCATGTTGGATTCTACAGATTTCGTTCTTTTGTGTGTGGGGCCCAAGGTGAAGTAGCACTTACTGGCTGGAATTTAGGGAGGCACAATTTCAAACCATTTAGAGCATACTGTTCAAAATGTGAGTCTGACCATAGTATTAACTAGCCTCCAAGCTATAATTTGAAGATCATAATACCTACAAGTGGACAGTAATTTGGTTCAGGAAGTTTAAATTATGCAGTGTGCTGTGGAACAGTACTCATTTCTATCACCCGTGATATCCCTGCTTATGGTTTGTTTTGTTAGATTTGGTAAAAATAAACGTGTGAGCTTTAAATTGGCAGTTATAAAACAAATATCTGTTACATATATGTTTAAAGAGTGTTGCACTGCTTCCTCCCCTTTCAGAAATATAAGTATTTATATTTCTAGAAATATAAGTATTTATGTGCTCTGACTGTAGGACGACATTGATGAGGCAGAATGTGCTCATATTTTCAGAAGAGGTTTGGAAGTGTTTGAATGTCATGCTACTTGAATGTGTTTAAGCCATTATTGTATTTCATGATATGTTAGTTTGCCATAACAAAATACCAGAGGCTTAAACAGCAGAAATTTATTTTCTCACATTCTGGAGGCCAGAAATCCAACATCAGTGTGTTTGACAGGTTGATTTCTCCTAAGGCCTCTCTCCTTGGCTTGCAGATGGGCACCTTTTTTTGCTGTGTCCTCACATGGCCTGTGCCCTGTGTTCATGCATCCCTATGTCTTTTTGTGTGTCCAAATTTCCCTTCTTATAAGGACACCAGACAGATTGGGGTAAGGTCTATCCTAAGAACCTCATTTTAACTTAATGGCTGCTTTTTTTTAATTAATTAATTTATTTTAGACAGAGGGGAAGGCAGGAAGACCAAGAAGGAGAGAAACATCAATGTATGGTTGCTTCTCACACCCCCTGCTACTAGGGATCTGTCCTGGTCTGCAGCGCAGGCATGTGCCCTGACTGGTAATCAAACCAGAGACCCACTGGTTCTCAAGCCAGTGCTCAATCCACTGAGCCACACCAGCCAAGGCAAACTTAATGACTTCTTTAAAGACTCTATCTCCAAATACAGTTACATTCTGAACTGCTGGAGTTTAGAGCTTCAACATAGGAATTTTGGGCAGGGGACGCAATTCAGCCCTTAACACACTAAAAGAAACATTATTTTACTTTAAGAAAAGAATAGATGGTATAAATAAGTGACTCTATAAATCGCCTTGAATAGTCAGCTCCATCTTTACCCAGCTCTCTACTAAATGAGTTGTGATACAGTAAGATAGAGCAGAATCTTTGGGTCCTGAATTCAAATCCAGCACCAGAACCTTGAGGAAGATGCTTAACAACACTTAAGCAATCCCTCAACTCAGAAGGGAGGGTGATAGCAGCTACCTGTTAGGGATGCTGTGAAGAGAAGAGACTATACATGTTCAGTGTGGATCCCTGCGCCTGGCTCATGCCCTCTCTCTGTACCTGCCTGCTGCTGGTGTTTCTGTGATTGCTATTAATCATTTAATATACCTAATTGAATTAATTTCTATAGTATCATCTCTTCTGAGATTGCTATTGACCCTTATATTGTAGCCTCCAAAAGAATCTTATGATGATCAATAAGTACTTTTGATAATAGTCCTCATGATTCTGTGCAGTTCTGCTTTGCTGGCCTTAGTTTAGGTCCCAGCTCCTTTCCTTGTAATTTATCTGGGGCCCATGTACTCTTGGGAAAATACCATAAGTTGGCTACCCTAGTTCCTTGACATTAAGATATTCTGAGAACTTCCATTAGGTTTTTATCTGTGAGTCCTGTTTCTTCTAGTCCACTTTACCATTAAATCACTAAAAGTTCTTTTTAAAAAAATAGAGGTAAAATTTTCATAGCACAAAATTAACCATTTTAGTTCTTCAGAAATATACAGGGTGTGGCAAAATTAGATTTACAGTTCTTTGTATGGAGAATAATACAATAATTAACAAATAATTATAAAACAATAAACTGTTTTTGCATATTTACAACCAGAAATCTACTTCTCCCAGACCATATATATATGCTCATTCTGTATATATAGTAAGTTGGCCACTCCAGTACTCCAGTGCCCTCACATTAAGATATCCTGAGAATATCCAATAGGTTTCCATCTGTGAGTCAAAAATTGAAAGCAGGATCTCATAGCAGCATTATTCACAGTAGCCAAAAGATAAAAACAACCTAAGTGTCCAATAGATGAATGGATAAAGAAAATGTGGTGTGAATATACCAGTGGAATATTATTCAGATTTAAAAAAGGAAGGAAATTCTGACAAGTACATGGATAGTCTTTGAGGACATTATGCTAAGTGAAATAAGTCAGTCATAAGAACACAAATACTATTCGATATCACTTATATGAGGTACCTAGAGTAGTCAAATTCATAGAAAGTAGAATGGTGGTATCCCAGTGGGGGATGGGTATGTGAGAGGAGGAGGAGTCAAGGGTTTGTTTAGCTATAAAACCAGCCCAGCTTCCTAATTTTTCATTTTTCTCTGGTGAGTTCTTTGGTTAAATATCTTTCTCTTGTACTTTAGTGGTATCATCTGCTTATTACTTCCCTTTCTTCAAGTCTTTTCTTAGAGGGATTAACGCACAAGCAAGCCCGGGACTGAGTATCTGTAGGATTTTAGCTAAAGCTCTGGTGGGTGGGTGGTTTTTTCTTTTAAATACTACTATCTTTTGTTTTCAGTTAGACGATAACATAGGTATCCCAGCTCTAAAGAAAGAAATCTATCAGCTAATGACCAAGTTTTTTAATCTCTTTTTCAGGTTCACTACAATGTTGGCAAAAACCTGGCTGATAAAGGCAATCAAACAGCTGCCATCAGATATTACCGGGAAGCTGTGAGGTACTGCGGGCATCTTGTCTCACTTATATACATGACTTGTTTTAACTTTCTAGGGTTAAAAAACTGTCCCTTTAAAGATTCCAACTATAAGATATCTTTGCCAATTCCTAAGAATTTAGTGAAAAATACTGGGCATCTACAGGTGGCTTGGTATTTCTCCCTACTTCCAGATTAAATCCCAAGTATGTTCATGCTATGAATAATCTTGGAAATATTTTAAAAGAAAGGAACGAGCTACAGGAAGCAGAGGAGCTGCTGTCTTTGGCTGTACAAATACAGTAAGCATTGTTTTTCTAATTATGTTAGGGGCAAAGAAATGAGCTCCTGCCTTTTGGGGTCTAAGCCTTTCTTTTCCTTGTTTACCTTTTTAAAATGCTCATCCAGGCCAGACTTTGCTGCTGCATGGATGAATTTAGGCATAGTGCAGAACAGCCTGAAACGGTTTGAAGCTGCCGAGAGAAGTTACCGGACAGCAATCAAACACAGACGGAAATACCCAGATTGTTACTACAACCTTGGGCGTTTAGTAAGTATAAGGTGGCCTGTGGCTATGGAATAAAAGCTTGTTTTTTTTTTTATTTATAATAAAATGTAGGTAGTAACACCATTACTAGGATTTTCCATCTTATAAAGTTCTTTCACTTAGGTTTACCTCATTTGAAGGTAGCTATTTGATTTTCTTATATTTAACTTTTTAAGCTCTAATTAGAGAGCCACCTAACACGAATTAGCCAAGTTTAAGAGAGCACAAAGGCAATAGGTCAGACCAAGGAATAAATTAGAATTTTTAAAGGCCATTTTGCCCTAAAAACAGCACTCTAACAGATAACTTCCTGATAAACATCAGTTTCTCTGTTTTTAAAGCACAAATAATACTGAGAATTTTTTTAAAAACCCATAATGTGATTTTTTAAAAATTTGTATTCAATGTATTAGGGTGACATTGGTTAATAAAATTATATACATTTTAGGTATACATTCTATAATACATCATTTGTATATTGTATTTTGTGTTCACTACCCCAAATCAAGTCCTCCCCCTGCCTCTTTTCCTCTGGTAATCACCATACTGTTGTCCGTGTCTATGAAGTTTATTTTTCTTTGCTTAAATCCCCTCACCTTTTTCTCAACCCCCTAGCCCCCCTCCCCTCTGACAGCTGTCACTTTGTGTTCTCTGTATCTATGAATCTGTTTCTATTTTGCTAATTTATTTTGTTCATTAGATTCCACACATAAGTGAAATAATGTGGTACTTGATCTTCCTCTGACTGGCTTATTTCACTTAGCATAATATTCTCTCCAGGTCCATCCATTCTGTCACAAAAGATAAGGTTTCCTTCTTTTTTCACAGCCGAATAGTGATCTACTGATGGGTGCTTGGGCTGCTTCCAAATCTTGGCTACTGTGAATAATCTGCAAAGAACATAGGGGTAATATATTCTTTCAAATTAGTGTTTCAGGTTTCTTAGGATATATTCCCAGAAGTGAAATTTCTGGGTCATGAGGCAGTTCCATTTTTAATATTTTGAGATAACTATACTGCTTTCCACAGAGGCTGCACCAGTCTGCATTCCTACCAGCAATGTACAAGGTTTCCCTTTTCTCCACATTCACCAATACTTCTTCATTGATTTATTGATGGTAGCCATTATGACTGGTGTGAGGTGATATCTCATTGTGGTTTTACTTTGTATTTCTGATAATTAGTGATGTTGAGCATCTGTTGGTCATCTGTATTTCCTCTTTGGGAAAGGGTCTGTTGAGTTCCTTTGCCCATTTTTTAATTGGAACTTTTTTTGGTGTTGAGTTTTATAAGTTTCTGTATAAATTTTGGATATTATTTTCAGATATGTCATAAGTGAATATATTCTCCCATTCAGTGGGTTGTCTTTTTATTTTATTGATGGTTTTCTTTGCTGTGCAAAAAGTTTCTCATTTGATGTAGTCTTATTTTTTTTCTTTTGTTTCCTTTGCCTGAGGCAATAGATCAGAAAAATGTATTGCTATGTGAAGTGTCTGAGTTTTTACTGCCTACATTTTCCTCTAGGATTTTTATGGTTTCTAGACTAACATTTAAGTCTTTAATCCATTTTTAGTTTATTCTTGTCTATGGTGTAAGAAGGTCCTCTATTTTCATTTTTTTTTTTGCATGTATCTGTCCAGTTTTCCCAACAGTGTTTATTGAATAGGCTGTCTTTACCCCTTTGTATCTTTTGGTCTCCTTTGTCAAATATTAATTGACCGTAAAGACATGGGTTTATTTCTGGGCTCTCTATAATGTTTAATTATTCTATATGACAGTGTTTATGCTAGTACCATGCTGTTTTGATTACTATGGCCTTGTAGTATAGTTTGATATCAGGTAGCATGATTCCTCCAACTTTGTTCTTGTTGTTCAAGATTGCTGTGGCTATTTGGGGTCTTTTGTGGTTCCATGTAAATGTTTGAAATATTTGTCCTAGTTCTGTGAAATACGTCATTGGAATCTTTATAGGAATTGTGTTGAATTTATAGATTGCTTTCGGTAGTATAGACACTGTAATGATGTTAATTCTAGTGTCTTAATAATGATCTGAGTACAGGTCTTGCATATCCTCAATTAAATTTATTTCTAGGTGTTTTTATTACTCTTTTTTTGATGCAATTGTAAATAAATTGCTTTCAAAATTTCCCTTCCTCTAGTTCATTAGAGGAAGTGTAAAAATGCCACATATTTCTGGATGTTTATTTTGTATGCTGCTACTTTACTGAATTCATTTATCAGTTCTAACACTTTTTTGGTGGAATCTTTAGGGTTCTCTAGATACAGTATCATATCACTGCAGATAATGACAGTTTTACTTCCTCCTTTCCAATTTGGATGCCTTTTTATTTCTTCTTCTAATCAGATGATTGTGGTTAGGACTTTCAGTACTATGTTGAATAAGACAGGTGAAAGTGGACATCTTTGTCTTCTCCCCACTCTTAAAGGAAACACTAGTAGTTTTTGCCTATCAAGTATGATGTCAGCTGTGGGTTTGTCATATGTGGCCTTTATTACATTGAGGTGTGTTGCCTGTATTCTCACCTTGCTAAGCATTTTATCATAAATCAGTGCTGGAATTTATCAAATGCTTTTCTGCATCTACTGATATGATTATGTGATTTTAATCCTTCATTTTTGTTTCTGTGGTGAATCACATTTATTGATATGTGGATTTTCTACCAACCTTGCATCCCTCGAATTAATCCTACTTGATCATAGTGTATTATCTTTTAATGTATAGCAGATCCTGTTTGCTAATATTTTCTTGAGAATTTTAGCATTGATGTTCATCAAGAATATTGGCCTATAATTTTTTTTGTTTGTAGTATCTTTATACAGTTTTAGAATGACATGCTGTTCTTGTAAAATGATCTTGGGAGTGTTTGTCTGCCTGAATTTTGGGGAATAGCTGGGAAAGGATAGCAGTTAGTTCTTTGAATGTTTGGTAAAATTTTCCAGTGAAGCCATCCTGTCCAGGACTTTTGTTTGTTGGGAGTTTTTTTTTTACTAGTGCTTCAATTTTATTACTTGTAACGTGTCTATTCAGATTTTCTGAATCTTCCTGATTCAGTTTTGGAAAATTGTATGTTTCTAGGAATTTATCCATTTCATTCAGATTGTCCAACTTGTTGTCATATAATTATTCATAATATTTTCTTGCAGTCCTTTGTATTTTTCTGGTGTTAGTTGTTACTTCTCTTTCATTTCTGATTTTATTTATTTGTGCCCTCTCTCTTTTTCTCTTCATGAGTCTCATTAAAGCTTTGTCATTCTTGTTTATTGTTTCAAAGAAATAGCTCTTGGTTTTCATTGCTCTCTTGTATGTCTTTTTAGACTCTGTTTACTTCTGCTCTGATCTTTATTATTTCATTTCTTCTACTCACTTTGGGTTTTGTTTATTTTGCTTTTTCTAGTTCCTTTAATAATAAAGTTAGATTGATTATTTAAGATTTTTCTTGTTTCTCGTGGTAACCCTGTAATGCTATGAATTTCTCTCTTAGCACTGCTTTTCCATTAGATTTTGGGTTTTTGTATTTTCATTTTCATTTGTTTCAAGGTACCTTTTGATTTCTTTCTTGATCTCATTGTTAACCTACTCATTGTTTAGTAACATGTTATCTATTCCCCATAACTTTGTGTGTTTTTCCGTTTTTTTCTTGTGATTGATTTCTAGTTTCATAGCATTGTGGTCAGAGAAGATGCTTGATATGTTTTCAGTCTTCTTAAATTTATTGAGACTTGTTTTGTGGCCTAACGTGGTTTATCCCAGAAAAAGTTCCATGTACACTTGAAAAGAAAGTGTATTCTGGTACTCTGCTGCTTTGGGGTGAAATGCTCTGATACCTATTAAATCCATCTGACCTAGTGTGTCATTTAGGACCATTGTTTTCTTGTGGATTTTCTGTCAGGAAGATCTATTCGTTGATGTCAATGGGATGTTTAAAACCCCTACTATGACTATATTACTGTTGACTCAGTAATATAGTAATGCAACTCAATTACTGACACCCCCTGAGTATGCCTAGACTTCTACACCCCAACCTAGGCAACTAACTCCTCAGCAGTGCCCAATCTCTGCAGGGTAGGGCTATAAAGAGTCCATAAGGTGGAGCTATTGCTTATCCCCTTGCTGATGCCATATGGAGGGGCATGCTTCACCCAAAAAAGATGGTGTCTGCAGTTTGGGAGAGTGACTTAGCATAAGAATCCTGGTGGCTGCCCCTTCAGTACTCTCCCTAGAGTCACAAACCCAGTCTTTTTTTAAAAAATATTTTATTGATTATGCTATTATAGCTGTCCCATTAGCCTCCTCCATCCCCCTCTACCTTGCACACCCTCTCCCATTCATATTCCCCCTCTAGTTTATGTCCATGTGTCATAAGTTCTTTAACTTCTACATTTTCCATACTATTCTTGCTTTCCCCTTATTTTCTACCTACCATTTATGCTACTTATTCTCTGTACTTTTTACCCCTCTCTCCTCCTCTCACTCCCCTGTTGCTAACCATTTCTGTGATTCTGTTCCTATTCTAGTTGTTTGCTTAATTTGCTTTTGCTTTAGGTGTGGTTGTTAATAATTGTGAGTTTGCTGTCATTTTACTATACATGTTTTTTATCTTCTTTTTCTTAGATAAGTCCCTTTAACATTTCATATAATAAGGGCTTGGTGATGATGAACTCCTTTAACTTGTCCTTATCTGGGAAGCACTTTATCTGCCCTTCCATTCTAAATGAAAGCTTTGCTGGGAGAGCAAAATGAGAGCAATCTTGGATGTACGTCTTTGCCTTTCATGACTTCAAATACTTCTTTCCAGTCCTTTCTTGCCAGCAAGGTCTCTTTAGAGAAATCAGCTGACAGTCTGATGGGAACCCCTTTGCAGGTTACTGTCTCCTTATCTCTTGCTGCTTCTAGGATTCTCTCCTTCATTTTTACCTTACATAATGTAATTATGATGTGCCTTGGTGTGTTCCTCCTTGGGTCCAAATTCTTTGGGACTCTC